GAAGGGCCCCCCCCCCCCCCCCACTTCCTTGTGCACGGTCAGCACTGCCAGCACTATGTCACCAAGTCGTCTATGACAGGGCCGAAGAGTCGCCAGGCAGAGGTCCCGCTCCGAAGCCTACAGGCAGGAAGCAAAACAGCCTGCAACAACTCGCGGCAGTGAAGTTTGATGGCCACAGGTTTGGCTTTTCGAGGGCTTTGATAGCTGCAAGGCAGACATGCCAGTGCCAAAGCTCCGATGTTGTCGGTGAAGCGGAAATGGTTGGAGCTACTCGTCGTGATTCGTGTTGCAAAGCGAAATTGTCAGTCATGTCTAGGTCGGCTAGACTCTAGACTGCAGCCCTCTCACAAAATACATGCGCAAGCAGGCACCAGCTTCTGCGGGCAGATGAAAAGTTGAAGCAGCAATGGGAAGCATTATCGGCGGACGAGGCCGCTGCTCTTCATTTGTAGATGACGTCGTTTACGATTCCGCACGCCAGGTCACCTCCCAACTGTTGGCCTGGAGAGTTCGTCGCTGGACTCAGATCTGACTTTGCCTACATCTTATCCGCGAAGTACACCTCGCCACCTGGCTGGCAGGTCCACTCTCAGGCACCGATGAGTTCAAGCAACGTCTCGGCTCTACTTTGGACGAGCTCATCTGCAAGCGAATGGCAGATCTACCTTTCGCAGGCATGCCTTCTTGGGCCTAGGCAAAATTCAAGCTCAAGAGGATGGCGATTGCATTGAATCTTGTTGCTGCTCTTCTGGGAGGTGACGTGGAGTCGAGATCGCTGCTTACAGAGCTCGGGTTTGCCAAAGCTTATTTACCGCATCCGGCGGGCATCTTTCTGGAGTGGGAGGTGGGGGAATCTTCACTGCACTGGGCGTTCCAAAGGGCTTTTGGTTTTTAGCCAGGTGCCAGCATGCACAGAACAGACGGAAGAAGACGCCCGGCATAATTCAATTCAGGGAGGAGCAGGATGTAGAAAGTGCACTCATCTCAACGGCTGTTGCGTGCAAGACTTGAGGTCGCAATCCAGGGCCTCAGAAGGTTTCGGAGCCTGCCACCGATCCAGATAGCAGCCTGGTGGTCTGTGCTAGCCTCTCGTGCTCGCCGACAGCAGGAGAGCGTTTTGGCCGTGAGCATGGCAGCCAGCACAGCTGTGACCATGCAGAAGCCTTGAAAAGGAAGCTCTCAGAAATGCCCTCTGCAACGACGTCGGCCTTGTGGAAGCAGTGCACTTCAAGGTCGGGACACCTGGCTGAGCTCCAAGAATTTCCAGCCGAACGCAAATTCCAGGAAGCGGACTTTGAGCGCTCCGGCTTCGATGCTTTTCGCGATGAGCAGATCAAGCGGGGGACGGAGCCCCTCACGTTGCCAGGCCTCGGACCCGCAAAAAGGCGGAAGAGAGGGAAGAGTGCCTAAGTTGTTATGTAATTACGACGTGAGGCCTGCAGATTGTGGATCCCCTTTGGGAGCTCGCCCAGGAGGAAGAGTTCTTGAGCTTGGATCAGGCATATGTCATAGAGCCAGGTCGCATGTCCATGTTTCGAAAGAAAGTTTGGAACTGAGCAACAGGCAATGCAAGAGCATTGGCTGCTTGGATCCGAGTCCCACTTTACGTGAGGGCTCGTATGAGGTGCAAGAAGCATGCAATTTTTGCTGTGCATGATGGAAGCAGAGGCTTACCATGACTATTGTATTCTGACGTCATTCGCTCTGGGGCGCAGTTGAGCGAGCTATGCTCACTCACGAGACAGAGATCTCAAGAAAGTCCCGACAGAGGTTTGTCGGAGGGAGCATCTGCTCCAATCGTTGTGTCTTCAAGGAATTCAGGATGCCCCGAGCATGTGACATTTGGGGTGATTGATGGCGATTGTAGTTTGACAGGTAGGCAGGCGGGCCGCAAGCGGACAAGCAGGGAGAAAGACACAATTCTGCAGGTTTGGAGTTGTGCCTGTCTTGAGGGCGACAGAACGGGTGTCATCGGAATCGCAGTGTGTTGTGTGTGTTGTGTGGTTCTGCTTTTCGGATCCAAGGCCTGGTCCCAAAAGCGCTACAGCCATCCTCGTGACAAGGTCCTGAGGTAAGCTTCTGTTTTCCTCAAGCCCTACCTTTGATTTTGCATTCAAGGACTCTCCTGCGCAGCTTCAGCTGCGCCAAGCTCTCCGGGAGTACAACACCCGGTGCGTGTCCTTAAGCCTTAAGCAGGCTTCTGTCGACATTCCGTGGCATGTGCGAACCTGGACCTGAGGTACGCATTTGACCCGGAGCATGGGCAGAAGGGTGGAGTCGGGAACATTGACGAGGAGATCGACAGATACCGGAAGCACCTTATGCGGCATCTAGCGGATGAAGCGCAATACTGTTTGTGGAATGTTACAGTTATAATGGTTCTCCGTTCATTTCCCAAGGTATGCTGACATGTTGCGAACGCAAATCGTGGATTCGGTCACGTTCATGCACCAAGACATAGTGCAGGGCTGCAAGGCCTGAGAAGTCAACACTGTTGGAGGTCACCTTGCTGCTTTCATGCATAGGTCTTGGTAGAGGGTGCCAATGCAGCCCTGCTCGATATCGACTTTGGCATCTTGGCTGCGACAGCTTTGTCGGGGCAGCTCACATGGCCTCGATTTTTGTGGAAGATAGTTGGCATGTTGGCAGAGTTCGCCGTGGCTTCCTTTGCGGCTCAAGCGTCAGCCTGGCCTGTGCTGGCCTTACGTCGTACTGTCGCGATCTTGCGACGGCACTTTGGTGGCACGTGAGATGGGCCTTCTCAACTTCGCAAAGCGGAACCTCGTGGCTGGCCGGCGCCTCTTCGCAGCGCAGGTGCCCAAGACCGTGGAGCCTCCGAGTCAGGCTTATCCCTTGGCCTATGGCCGTGTGGAGGAAACCGTCATGTCACCCTTCAAGGGCGGCCCCGTGTATCTGTGGCTTCGTTCCACGATCGTGTGGTTGCGCCGAGTCCCAGGCCGCCACTGGATTCGTTGGCTTGAGCGCAACTGGGACTACCAGAAAATGTGCTTGATGGGCATGCCGGAGATTCACATTGATCCCACCAAGAACCGTTGGAGGTACTACATCGACACGAGCTACTATGGTGGGATGTTGGACAAGTCCCACGAAGACTTCTACCGCTACATCATGATGTACCCGACCTTGGCCTTCTTCTTCCACTGTGTTTGGTGCCGTATCAAGGACAATGACAAAGATAATTTCTTGGCAAAGTGGAGGGTGCCGGCCGATGAAGCCTGAGGACTTCCAGTGCATCTGAAGAGCACTATCCGATTCCTTTAAGCTCCAACTTCGACTGGCCAACAGTGGCACGTTTGTCTGCCGTGCTATGTGCAAAAACAGACGGGCTGGCACATGCTCGAGCTTGACTTGCACTCTTCGCTGAGCAGGCTTCAGTTTTTCAGCTGTGTGTGTGCTCCTGGAAACAAGGCACTTACCCGTTCGTCACATCATCCAACACAACGGTTGGAAGCGTGTGCACAGGACTGCTGTCCAGTTGTCGTGTGCAGTGTGCACGCGCTTCATGCAGCCAAGCGAATTGCTGCAGGACTGGGGGTGCCGCCAAAAGTGGTGGATGCGGTCATTGGAGTGGCATTGGCCTCGAGCTAGCATGCTTCATAGATGCATAGCAGTCTTGTGGGAGGTTAAGGCCTACACGACTCGAGTTGGGCACGGACCTTTCCCGACAGAGTTACAGAACGAGATGCAGTCTCTCGAGGCCTGCGGGTGTGCAGCTCTGCATGCTTCCGTTGGCCTTGCAAGCAGCCGCTCTTAGAGGACTACACTGAGATGTACATTGGCCCAGATGCCCGCTACGAGCGCAAGGGCCACACAGGCAGAGCAACTCCTGAGCAGCCGCTGTGCTTCCCCTTTCTGCCTCCAGGTGGCCCCTTCGACCTGAAGTCTGGCCAGCCGGTTAAGGCGCCGTCCTTGTGCAGGAATCTCTTCTCAACGTCGCTGAAAGCTCCTCGCAGGTTGGAATGATGCTACAGGAGGTGGGAGCAGAATACGGCACTACCACCGGCCGAAGGCGGAGGTGTGGTTGGCTGGACCTGGCACTTCGCCTCAGGGTCCTGTGGCACGTGTGCGACTCTCCTGCATTCAGATGTCGAGATTTCCGAGGCTTTGGTCAAGTATTCGGCCATGGTCAACGGCTTTGACACTGGGTTGCACCGGTGCAGAAGTCCGAAAGCGAGCTTTGCAAGTAGGTCTCCTGCCAAAGGACAGCATCAACATTACCAAGCTTGATGTTCTCACTGGCCTCAAGCAGATTCGAGTCGCTATCGCGTACAGGCCAGATCACATGGGCGCATGAAGATTTCACTGTCTTTTCGCCCAGCAACGCAGGAACAGACGCATGACCGAAGTCCGCCTGCCGTCCGGATACTTTCCTTCGCACTTGGATGACCTCAAGGCTTGAGCCGTAGTCCCGGCCATGCCGGGCGTTCACGGCGAGACAAGGATGCATCGCACCTGGTCAGGAAGTCGTCTGTGAGTATGTGGCTTGGCGTCTTACGGGTCAGCTGTGTCTTTCTTGTGAGTGTGTCGCTTCTTGAAGGAAACTCTCCAGGGCTGGTCAGAAGATATTTCCAAGTGCACCAGATGGGAAGATCTGCCAGAGAACGCCAAAACGTATGTCCTCAGGCCGCGGTCCGTCTAGACTGACGACTCTTTAGGAAGTCGAGTTCTCTGTGATTGTACAGTTTTACTAATTCTTTGCATTGTGGAAGTCAGTTATCAGGCGATTGCACAAGTCCTGATGCAAAAGGCGAAGTCGAGTGCCCCGAAACACATATCGAGACAGACGCAGGATCCAAGAACTCTTGGGCATTCCGGTTTCCTGGGCGGCTTGGCTTGTTTATCATTTGCTGTTGGAACTAGCTCCGAGACAGTAACATGTGAACTGGGAGGTCGGTGTCGGCCCGGATCGATCCAGCATGTTGAAGCTTCCAATGAGGAAGTGCCTCGACCCGCAAAGTTCTGCAAGCAGCCTTGTGCGCGCGCGGGGTGGGTGGGTGTGTGTGTGTGTGTGTGTGGACTTCTCTCGAACATGAGATAAGGGGCTCACAACCCTCGCTTTTTCAGACCTGTCAGTGCAGCTTGCCGATACACATGATCAACATTGCGAGGAAGCCTTGTTTT